TGTCACACTCCCAGAGGTTCTACAGGGAGGGGACAGTGGCAGCTGCTTCACCATGACTCCTAGTGTCGCTGTGCCCTGGAACTCACATATTAAAACATGTTTTATTTTATTGTTAATTACTTTGTTTATATTATAGTTAGGGCATTGTTGATTTTTAAAAAATTGTGTGTAGGCAGTTTTTACCAACTCTAAGTGTCATTTCAGGATAATAAAGGCAGCTGCTACAAAATATTTGTAATAAAAAGAGGGTGTTGGATCCAACGGGTTGAAAGTCACTGTCCTACCTGACCTAATGCAGTCTCACTCCTTGAGGTGCCTTCTGTAAGCTGACGTCTCCCTACTGTGTACCCAGCTGATTCCTCGTGAACCCCAGAAGAATATCCACCTGCCAGCCTGACCTCTTCCCATGGACGTCTAATACCAGGCATCTCACACCCAGAGTGTCTGAAACTGACCCCTGTTTTCCACACCCGCCCTCCATCCGAACCTGCTCCTCTTCCAGCAAACGGCACCCCCACTCACCTAGCTGTTCAGGGAAAAAAACTCTTCTGCATCCTTGATTCCTTTCCTTCCCTTAGCCCACATTCAATCAACAAACACTGTCACCTCTACCTTCAAAAGTAGCCCAAATACAACCACATCTCCCAACCTCCACCACTACCATGGTGGAGCCACCAACCTCTCCCCAAAAAACTGTGTAGTGTCCTACGTGGTTCTTTCTGCTTCTCCTGCAACTCCCACAGTCAGACTCCTGCTCACACGGCTAGAGAGCGGGGCACAATGGCACCAAACTTACAGATCTCAAGGCCCACATTCTTTCCTCTACACCGGGGTTCCTCAACCTTGGTATTACTGATATTTGGGGCCAGATAATTCTTCGTGGGAAGAAGATCTGCCCTATACATTATAGATGTTTAGCAGCATCCCTGACCTCCACCTGCTAGATGTCTGTCGCATCGTTCCCCCTCACCCCAAGCTGTGACAACCAAGAATGTTTCCAGATATTGACAAATGTCACCTAGGGATCCAAACTCTTCCCTGTTGAGAACCACTGCTACCCTACACAGGTAATCACAGGGCATGCTGGCACTAAGAGAGCTTTCTTCTTAGTACTCTCCCCACATGGGTCCCTCCTGTGGCTTCCAAGCCAGGGCAGTCTGTTCACCCTTTTGTGAATCAATTTCCTGCACTTTCTGCTTCTGCTGAGGTTCCAGCTCCAACAGTGCAATGCCCCTTCCCCATCCCCACTGTTCAACTCCTGACCTTCCTTCCCAGACCTAGCCTAGGTCCCCTACCTCCAAGAAGTCCCCATGACTGCCCTAGCCACAAGTAGCACTGTTTCAAAGTTGACTCATTTTCTCATTAGCATTCAGAAGGTCACCTATCCACAAACATTAAAGCCAAACCTCAGCCAGAAGGGCCCTTGGAAATCATCTAGCCATGTTCAAAGTGCATTTATTAAGCACTGGAGGTACAGACATGAAACTGATAATGTCCTCATCCTTATTTTATGATAAGGGAAACCAGGCTTAAAGGGATAAATGCTCTTTTTCAAATCTCACTTGCCCAGGAAAAGAATTCCATATTCTGCTTCACTTTCCCCCAGGGAGCAGCTCAGCTGGGAGCAACAGCGTATCAGGGTAGGGGAGCACATGCTCCCCTCAGTCCTCAGTCTCCTCAACTGTAACATGGGCAGTGTGGCTTAGTGCTTACAAGTGTGGACTTTGGAGTTAGAAACCTGGATCAAGTCCTGGTGCCTCCACTTACTACTGTGCCGCTGCCCTAAGTTTCATAACCTTTGGATTCAGTTTCTCCGACTGCAAAGATAAAACCATCTGCCTCCTGGGAGGGGGAGTCAGTGGCATCAGGTAGGGCACTAAGTGTTGGCTCAAGGTAGGGGCTTATTCCCCTCCTGGTCCCCTGGTAGCGACACTTCCCCAGAGGGCCCTGCACTGCCAGCCCCACTCCCTCACCTCCTGTCCTTGCTTCAGCCTGTCTCCACTGCTCCAGTGAGTCACCACACCCTCCTCCCATTGCCCCTTTAAGGGTCAGGTCTCTGTTCTCATCTTATACAACCAACCACTTCCTCCTCCTGGAACAACCTTCTCTTGGACGCCACGACATCACGTTCGCCTGGCTTCTGCTTTTCTGGATTCCTTGGTCATCTTAATTGGCACCTCCTCTTCAACTCAACCTGTAAACACCGGGTGCCTGAGGCCGGGACCCTGGTTTCTCTTAATTCTTACCCTAAGTAACCTCATCCCACCCAATCGACTTGCCAATGATTTCTAAATTCTTCACACTAACCCTAACCTTCTCTGTGAGTGCCAAACTAGTATATCTAACTATATGGTAGCTCCACTGAAGATATCTAAAACTTAAAATGCTCTAAGATTTTTTAATTATTCTCATGCCCCCAACCCAAAGTCATTTATTAAATGTCACCAAAATACACCCAGTTACTTAAGCCAAACCCAAAAATCAATGATGAAGTCATCTTTGACCACTCTCTTTCCCTCATTCCTCAAATCCTGCCCTGTCAGTTCCGCCTTCAATATCCTTCACCCATCTACTTCTCTTCACCTCCACTCCCACCGCCACAGCCTGAGCCACAATCATCTTTCGCCTACCGACTGCAGCTGGTCTCCCTGTTTCCCTTCCTCCCTACAACCCGGAATAGACAAAGCAGCCAGAGAGATGGCTTAAGCACACAAAGTCGCAGACCATGCCCTTTTAGGGCTAATCCCAACTCCTCCACACAGCCCACAAGGAAGTCCTCCCACGATCTAGCCTCTGCGCATCTCTGCAACCTCATTCGCCTACCACTGCCCCCACTACCCGCCACAGTGGCCTCCTGCTATCTGTCCAACACATCGAGTCTGTGTCCTCCTTTGTACTTGCTGTTCCCTCGGCCTACACCCTTCCGCAGACCTTAGCTTGGCCGAAAACTATCCCCCCCGCCCCCATCCTCGTGGCGCTTCCCACCATATGACGTTTCCTTGTTTGCTCACGTGGTTACTGCCCGATCCACTCCCACCGCGGGATGCCGGCCTCTGAGGGCAGGGCTCTGTCAGATTCTCGCCTGGGTCCAGGGCCCGGCACGTCTCAGGTGCTCAGTAAATACCAGACGAACGGGTGCGGGGCAGGCGCCCCGCAGGAGAGAGCTTGGAGACCCCTGTCCCTCCCCAGACCGGGAGACCAAGGCCTGGGGAGCGGCAGGCGCATGGGCGTGCCCCACGCCGCCATGCGCAGAGACCTGCCGGCGACCCCACTTCCCGGCTCCAGCCCCGGACCAACCCCCCGCCCCCAGCCTCAGGGAGCGCACGGGGAGTCCAGCCGCGAGCCCACTCACCTCCACCTGGGGCGCTCCCGGCAGGGACCTTCCCGCCGGAAGTACGAGGCCAGACGCAGCCGCCACGCCATGGGAGGGGGGGGTAACTTCCGCCGGAAGCTACTGAGGGGCGGGGCGGAGCCGGGGCGGCCGTGGTCGGGTGTTTCTCCCGCTCTCTGCTCAGACCTTGAGCGGCTCCCTCCTCCGGAAAGCCCCGCCAGCGCTGAGCACAGCCCTGTGTTGTAATTGTCTCCTCCGCTCAAGCAGGGGTTTGCTCTGGAGCCCTGGTTCCTACTAGTGTTCTGCATCCAAAAAATGGTCACCTGTTTATTTTTCTTGGACGAATCGTTTTTCTCATGCCCAGTCCAGTGCTGGGCAACCGTGGAAGGAACCACGAAGATAAGTATCTCATGGGCTTTTTCTTCTGGGACCTCAAGCCAGCTGGAGAGTGATGTCAGAAGCACTAAACTTTAAGACTTAAGAGATCCAGAAGGAATAATAAATATTTGTGAAATATTTTCTGTATGCCTGAAACTTTATAAGAATTATCCCAATATCAATAGCATAAATAAGGGTACAGCACCTCAGGTAGAGGAATCGAAGAATCCTAACGGAGGGGGTGAGAACGCTCCATCCAGCCTTGCTTGCAACCCAGGTTGTTTGTGTTTAAAGTAGCCAAGGGGCAGGTTGTAGTGGCCCCACTGCCAGCTAGGCAGTTCAGATTTTCTTCATCTTGCAGGATGGATTAAAGGGGCAGCATTTATGGACAAGGAGACCATTAGGCAAGGGCAAGCTAGGGTTGCACATTCAGGCCCAGTTTTGTGCTGTTTGCCTTCCTTCTCCAGCCTCCACCTGGGCTCTCTGGCACTAAGACAGCCTGCAAACGTGGATCCTTGCACATAATTCAGCTGGGCTCCCTGGCCCCTCTGAACAGAAGGCTCAAGGACAGAGTGTAAGCAGTGCTTTGTGCAAACTGCTGCTGTCACTGCCGCCAGCTGGCATCATATGGGCATTAGTTCATTCAGTGCTTCCCAAGCATCTAAATGGTACCCATCGCTGCCCAAGGTCTTGGCTTTATTCAGTCCTTGAGGCCTGTATTGCATGCACTTTCTATGCCTTTTGAAAGAGCTTGTCCTTAGCCCCTTCTCTCTCAGAGGCAAGAGAAAGTATCTATTTTCATCACCGCCTTCATTCAAGCCTCCTAGCTTCCAAGGCCAAGGTTTGGAGCAACAGCCTAAAACACCAGCTGGAAGGCTGGGCACTAAGCACAGGCAACACACAGGGTGAAGACCGTGTCTTCTTTGTAAGGCACAAGTACTCGAGCTGTTCCCTGGCTGTGTCCCTGGCAGGGAGAAGAGGGAGGATGTGTTCGTGGGGGTTTACAGTATGCCATACCCTGCTGTACCCAGTAGGGCTCAGCAGAAAACACTTTGTCCCAGTGCAATAATCTGTGAGCATCCTTAACCAGCAGGTGTGTGTCTGTGTGTGTGTGGGGGGGGGTGATGGGGAGAGGGTGAATGAGGAGGAGGAAGACGCTTGGAAGGTGGCTAAGAGCTCCAGCTGGAGCTCTCCACTCGCCCAGACACGCTGAAAATGGCTTGCCAAGGTGAAATCTTCATCTTTGGGCAGCGAGGAAGTGTATAGAAACAGCTGCTAATAGTAACTACAGTTTATACATGAAAGAGTATTTATTGAAAACATCGTTACTGACAGGAAGCTCCTGGCTGCTCTCTGGTTACAATCTTGGCTCACAACTGCAAGTATTACTTTTTTTCCCCCCTACAATTCTATTTTCCCCCAACATTCCATCCTAGGATAGGTAGATCTTATATAAATATATATACAAGTCTGTATAAGTATGGCCTATAGTAAAGAAAATATATAGTACAATCTTCATTGGGTAGTACCTACCATGCCAGGCTCCCAGTCCTGTATGCCACTGTGTTAACGTACATCCAAGGAGAGAGGCTGTGTGTGTGGTTTACAAGTGCTGCAGCACCAGGGAAGCCCCATTGGCACAGCTGTGGCCTCAGCCAGCTCCCTGAAATCATGGCCAATGGCAGAAACCACAGCACTAAGAAGGAGAGGAAGGGAAGGCAAACTTCCTGGGGTATGGAAGGCCAAAGGAAAGCAAACTGGAGGGTTAGGGGGGAGATTTCTCCCCAACGAAGGAAAAGATATAAATGTTGGGGGAAGGGCGTAGAATCTAGTGACCTTACCACAGTCTAGGCCCAGGCCTCAGCCGGGCTTTCCCTGCAGCATTCCTGGAGACTAAGAGGGCAGGACTCAGCCTGGAGATCCTTGACTTGCCAGGCTGAGACTGAGAGCTTGTGGGGAGAAATTTCCATCTGCCCTGATATCTGCAAGGGCAAGAGAGATGTGGTGGCTCTAGAAATCAGAGATGTTAGAGCCAAACCTCAGAAGCAGCAGCATCTTGGCACCATATGAGGCTGGAGTGAACCCTCGTGAACAAGACAAAAGCAAAGGCCCAAGGTATCCACTGTGCCAAGGCCCAAGGCTTATACTTAGATTTGAGACATAGGCATGGGTCCCCCAAAGGCAGTCACTCCAAGCCTCTCAACACGCCCAGCACGTGTCCTCTGCAGGCAGCCTTTCTTGGGCCAGCACTTGCTCACATGGGAATCCAGCTAACCAGAGAGCAGGCTTGGAAGAAAAAGTAAGTGGCTGTTGTTAAGTCCATTTCAAGAAGCAGTTTCTTGGGCTGGAAGGCAAGGGCATCTGCTGTTCATTCCTCATGGCCCAATCCCAGGCTTGACGGTGATGGGGAGGGCAGAGCACCCTGCCTTCATGACTCTTAGTGGACAGGACCAAGAGGAAACTCTGGGTGGTCCGAGATGGGTTTGAGGAATGGCTGGCATTTACTGGCCACCACAATCACTACGGATTTTGTACAAGCAAAAGACAAGGCACCAGACTGTGAGTGTTTCTCCTGGGCCCCAAATCCCTTCTCCTGGGTACCAGTGTCTCCGGCTCCAGGCTCAGCCATAGTGATAGACAAAGTCATAGCTGCTGGGCTCCTTGGGGACTGGCGGTGGGGCTTCAGGAATCTGGATGTTCTCCAGGTCCAGGAGCCGCAGCTTCATCTCCATGCTCAGCAGGGTGTCCAGGTCACTCTTGGTCAGCTCGCTGGACATGTCCTTCCCCAGAAGGGCACTGAGGCCATCAATCCAGATGCAGTACTGTGGGGAGCAAGTTGCAAAATGTCACATGGTGGCCCCTGGTCCAGCAGGAGATCCTGCCAAGTTCCCTTTTTTTTTCCAGATTCCATTTTATTTGTTTTATCAAGTTTACCAAGGTATAATTTATATATATATATTAAATGCATAGATTTTATGTACAAGGTCTCCTTTCTGGTGGGACTCCCAACAGTCCCTTTGGGAACTATTCGGTATAGGCAAAATTGATGTGGAATAATAACAAAGACAAATTAGGAGGTGATCATTCGCTTTTTCAAGAGATCTGGTTTTTATGAGGGGGGTTACATTAAAACTTCTTATAATAATATGAAATATGACCTAAAATGCAATTAATGAATATAGCAACATGAGATCTGAGTACTGGGGTATCACCCACCTGAAGTTGCCCCCAAAATTGGAAATGGGATGGGGGAAATAAATATATTAGGTGAAAAAAGGACACAAATTAGAATCCCTGTGATATCTCAATTTTGTTTCAAAAAAAAAAGTAAATTTAAAAAAACTCAGTCAATTAATGTTAAAAGCTTAGTACTAAAGAAACTGATGTGGAGACTCTCATGCTAAGAGAGAATAACAGAGAAGTCTTCTCAACCCATCCGATCTCAAGTCCTGTCCCCTCCACTGCTGTTTTCCTTGTTCCATGACTATGCTCACCTGGTTTCCCTCCTGCTTGTTCTTCATTTCCTCCAGCAAAACTCCACTAGCAACTCCACTAGCTCAGGCCCTGCCCAAGTGTCTCCTCTTCCAGAAGCCCCCCCTCCAGTTCCCACTGATGGCTCTCAGAGCTCACCAGGCACATAGGGTCTCAACTGCAGTACTCAGTTAATATCTAGTATCTTCCAGGGCTGCAGAGGGACCTGTAAGCCCCTTGTCAGAAGAACTGGATCCATCTGGCTTCAAAGTCCAGCCTGGATCGACTATAACATGTGACCAGGAGCCCCAAGGAAAGAAGATCTGTCAAGTTCACCGAGGTAGGTGGCCACAGAGAAAATGCGAAGAAGAGAATTTTCCTTATCCCAAGCAAATGAGTCATTCCTAGTGGACCGTATCTTTCTAATGACAACCTACGGCTGCTGCTGAAGAGTAGTGTGGAGAGCCCAGCTCAGGGCTGAAGGGCCCATCACGTGGCAGATCCTCAGCATCCCACAGGCTTCATGGCATGCTGTGGTCACGCGCCTAGACTGGGACATTCCTGTTCTGCCCACTCCTCCCCTCCAGGTGGAGAGTCACTCTGCCGTCTGAGGCTGTGCCACAGTGCTCACCTCATACTTATTAGGTGCAATGAAGTTTAAGGTCTCATCGGGGTCATACAGGATAGAGAAGGCCAATTCTAGCACTTCCTGAGGGAGAAAGGGGTTCAGTTACTTAGAGCAGTGGAACAACCTGGGCTCAGCACACCAAGATCCTGGCCAAAGTCCTAGTAACTTGGCATCATTATCAAATGTGTTGATTGAGATATGATGTCATCCAGGCCCCTAGGCATGCACACAGGTGTGGCTGGAGATGAGGCCCCGCAATAAGCAACCTTAACTTACCCACTCCCCGCCCAAATCACACCTAAGACGTGGTGATACTTTTAAGATGGGGAAAAAGATCGTTTTCAACACTTAGAACGCTTGAATGTCTGAGTTTGTCATGGTAAGTTATCCTAGAAGTTTTTATTCTATGTTACCAAGACGACTGATTCTTCTTTTTATCAAGCTGTAATTGGCATAGGAATGTCTTAACAGTTTAAAAAATCACAACATAAACAAATTGCAGACAAAGATGGGACAATTTGAGCATCAACAAAATATGTGATGGTAATGGACTGAAACAAATATAGTTTGCTTAAACCCTTGAGTTCATAATAATAAAAAACAAACAAACACAAAATTGGTCATATTGAATGATACTGAGGAACTAACTCATTGTTTTAAAGGTAGGTACATAAAGGAAAAATCAGCATTTATCTTCTTTTCTTATATTAACTGTACCACTGGGAAACCAACAGTAGATAAGGGCAAGTTTCTCTTCAGAGAAGTAGTTCAGCTAACAAACGAAAAGGAATGGCTGCATTAAAGTATCACTAGTTTGCAAACCTTAGTTTACTAATGGAATGAGGCATTGAGCACAACGGTCTGCTAACATCACAAGAAGAGAGACAGGCAGACGTTATGTGCCCCGTGATAGAAAACAACACCATCTATGACACAGTCTGGCCAGAAAGATGTCAAAGCTGAACTGGATCAAACCTCTAGATCCCTCTGCCGATTTATAGATCTAGGACAGAGAAACAAGTTAAACTATACCACAGGGAGACAATCAGCAAAATTCAGACACTGGGAAACTACCAAACAAGCAACCTGGTTTCTTCAACTAATAAACTGCAAAGAAAAAAAAAGATGGAAAAATTGGAGAGGAACTTATGAATTAAGAATCTTAAAAGATTAATCACAATGTGTAGACCTTATTTGGATTCTGGTTTAAACAAGATGGGTATGATTGTGTGTATATGTACATATAAATGTTTATATATTTTTATACAGACATTTATAAGACAATTGGTGGAAATTCAACTGATAGAAATTCAATGTAATATTTACTGTTAAAATAATTACTTTTTATTTCCTGTTAGGTATGATAATGGTATTGTAGTTATGTTAAAAGAGTCCCTATATTTTAGCGATATATACTAAATATTTACAGATGAAATGATACAATACTTGGGATTTTCTTCAAAGTAATAGGGAGAGGAACGAGTGGATGGGCAGACGTTGCCATAGTTGCTGAGGGTAGGTGATGCGTACATAGGGCTTCTATCTATTTTTGTGTATGTTTAAGATTCTTAATAAAGCACTCAGGAATAATTTAAAGAGAGGGGAAGAGAGCAAGCATGCACTGAAAAAGCCCGCCACCAACTGTACTCTCAGTGTATCTCACAGTGATCCACAGGTATCACTGTGACAGCCACTCAAACTCTCCTCTCCACTCACCTTGTTCTGTTTCAGAGCACTTTTCTCCTTCATGTGGGGACAATCTTTCCCAGTGACAATGGCCTTAATGTCTGCAACAGGAACTGATAAATGACGGACATTAGTCTCTGGAAGCTCATGGGCAAGTTGGTCAGTGCTTGCGTCAGTGCTGGGAGGGAGGCCCTGTGCCCACAGACTCAAAGGGCTGTATTAGCTCAGCCAGGGTAAGGGTGTAAGGTGGCTTTGGACTTGTTCCCTCCTCCCTAGTCACTTCCTGTAGACCATGGCCTGGTGAGGCTGTGTCAAAGCTAACTGGGGGTCGCTTCAGGGCTCTTGAATTTATCTCCCCAAGGAATGGGTCTTGGACACTCACCTCACTTCCCCTTCACAATAATGGAGATGAAAATGCCACCACAGCAAACAGCAGTGGCAGCTGCTGACAGTTATGCTTACTACCTGCCAGCCACAACATGCCAGTCATACAATCCTCTCAGGAGGAGGGAAGTGGGGCCATTATCCCCATTTTATAGGAGAAGAAACCAAGGCAGAGGGGAGGACTATCTTGCAATTAATTAGAATTCACAACTAATTTGGGGCAAAGCCAGGATTTGAATTCGGGCAGTCTGGCTTCAGAGCTTCTGCTCTTAAGTTCTGCCTTTCAACTTGGTCTCGAACTGCCCCTTACTATCTATACGCCACGCTCATTAATTCTCCCAACAAGCCTGTGAGGTAGGCCAGGAAGAGATGATCTCTGGCAGATAAGGAAACAGGTCTCGAGAGATAACGAGCACAAGCCCAGATAATCCGTTTGAAACAGCAGGACCAGAACCAGGTCTCCAGATGACCCAGCCACCATGACACATCAGCAGAGAAATGAACCTACTTTTCTCCTGCAGGGATTCAAATGTCACCTCCCCTTGAGGGTTGTCATCCAAGTCGCCGTAGTGCAGGACCTTGTGGTTCAGTGCCAAGCGGCAGTACCAGAACCGCTCTGGAACACAAGGGAGGCCAAGCAGGTGAGCAGGGACAGTACTGGCAAAGGTCAGGGCACACAAAGGGCAAAAGGGCCACCTGTGGCCTGCTTGTTCCCTGCACGGCCACCCAGGTGGGTCCTCCGGGCACCAGGGAGTGTGGTCAGCGAGGACCAGCCCCCAACCCACGCCTCCTCTCACCTTGCCTCCGGCGGTTCCCGATCTTCCGGAAGCTGCTGCCCTCACAGAGCCGGTTCAGGCGCTGCTGCTTGATTAGCTCGAGGATCTCAGGCTGGATCTTCTCCCTCAGCTCCCTGGAGTGGACATGCACCGGGGTGAGAGGAGATCATGGGGACAGTGGAGCTCTGCAAGGGAGGCAGAGCTGGTGGCTGCCTCTGGGATGGCACTTACACAATTGGCGGGGACTGGAAGTCATCCTGACTCATCCTCTCTGACTGGCGAAGTCGCAGAATCTCAGAGTAGCTCAGGCTACGCAGTTTGCTCTTGAACTGATCCAAAGAGTTGGGTTTGGAGGGCAAAGCTCGAGTGATTTGCTCTCGGACTACTTGCATAACCTAAGAGGAAAAGAAGGCAACCAACTCACACCACTGTTCTGATCAATGGACAGGCCAATTCTGGAACGGCAAGCTCTCTCCTACCCCAGAGTCTTAAGCAGACAAGCACCACAGACATCTGCTGGGTGGATAAGGTACACCTTCTTAGGTGGTTATTCAGATCAAATGACTGACAATGACAGATGCCTTATTTCTCATATATTTCAATTAGTCAACGGTGTGGGGAAATGAGCCTGGGTTTCTGGAGTCAGAGAGAAATGGGTTCAGATCTTGACTCTGTCCCTTAATCTGCTCCTTGAGCAAATTACTTAATATCCTCAGGCCTCCATCTGTTTACTTTAAAGTGAGAGAAAGAAAGATGCATCTTCTGATATGTGCTGCCATACAGAATATGAGATGCTACCCGGAAGGCAAGCACAGTGCCTGGCACACTGTGGTGAGTTAAAAAGTGTTAGCTCCCCTAAAACAATAACTGTTAAAAAAAAAAAAAAAAGATACCACACTGCATGTGCAGTATGATCTCACTAACGTAGGAAAAATCCAGAGGGAGAAAAGACTAGAGGAAGATACAAAAATGATTGTCATTGGGTGGTGCAATTATAGGTGACTTTTTCTTCTTTATACTTTCTGAATTTTTTATGATGAGATGATCAACTTCAAAACACTCAACCCCTAGATTATGAGTTTTTGAGGGCCTGGCACAGTGCTCTGCATAGAATGGGTACTCAGAAAGCACAGAGGGACAACTGTCGATTAAGCACCCATGACGAGCACCCCCTGCCAGTCCACTCCCACCCCCCTAACATTCCCCGTTCCCAGAACTACAGCAGCGCCTGCGCGCAGGGAGTGCTCGATAAACCACAGCTACTCTCGCTATGCTTACTCTCTTGGCCCCCAAGGAGGACAGGAGGGGCAGGTGCTGGCTTCAATGGGCAAATGAGTGCCTAGGGTACCAAGGAGAAGACACCTGCTCAAGGTTACTAGGGAGTAACAACCAGATGGGACTGAGCTCTCCAACGCCTCAGTCTTGTGACTCAGCACTGCAGACCGAGCTGCTTTTCCAGCTCAGGGATTCTCCAGGCACTGGCCAGCTGTCAAGAGACTGTTGTGTGACAGTCTCCTTCCACAGGCCTCGGAGAAGCTCAGTGACATTGACCTTGTTGAAGTCCTCTGCTGTTGCCCTCATCTCCTTCCAGGTCTTGTTCAATAGCTGGATGCAGATTCCAAAAAGCTCTTCAAATGCTCGGTCATGGGTAAAGAACATCGGGTGGTAGTCGTTGCGTCCTTCGTTTGCTGTGGAAGTAAACAGGGAAAGGGTGAAGCCTCTGCTGGCGGGAGCCTGCGAGCTCGTGTCCAGAAACTGGATTCTCTGCACCAAAGTCCTGAGGAACAAAAGCAGACCAAGGACTGTGGCAAAAAGGCATGGAGGATAGGCCTTTCTCCCACTTCCTTAGCCTTCTTCTCCAGGGTGCTTTTTTTTGGTCCTCCTCTCTCTACTCTGTTACAGACTCAGCAAGCCGTTATCTACAGAGGTGGGGTAGCTTCTGAACACAGCTCAAGTTGCCAGCTCAATGAAACAGCCCTGATTCCTATAAACAAGGATAAGATGAATCATCAGGGCCAGGCATGGTGGCTCACTCCTTAAATTCTAGCACTTTGGGAGGCCAAGGCAGGAGGATGGCTTGAGCCCAAGAGTTCAAGGCTGCAGTGAGCTCTGATTAGGCCAATGCACTCCAGCCTGGGCAACCGAGCAAGACCCTGCCTCTTAAAACAAAACAAACAAAACAAAATAAAAAGATGAATTATCAGTTCATACAGTGATATTTTTTAAAAAGTCAAAAAAAAAAAAAACCCATATAAGGTTATCCGGTCCCTGACATCTGACTGTTTATAATCTTGAGTGTCCCTAGATTCTTGATGACAAGGAGGAGAGGGAGTTGCAGAGACTTACGTAGTTCCCCAACCTGCAGGATTTCACAGAGCATTTTGGTGAGCTCAATGGCACTGCGGCCAAAGGGGCATTCGTGTTTGTCTTCTCGGCTGCTGTTCTCCAAGACGATCTGTGGGGAGAAGAGGAAAGGAAGGATCAGGGAGATAAGGGAGGAAAGCAAGAGATGTGGCACTGGGACTGAGAAGGCCAGCCCCCCGCCTTTACCCGGATGTAGGTGTCCTGGTGGAATTTAGCCAAGTACAGCATGTTGTCCAAGGCCAGCATTCCTGGAGGAGTTTGGGTGAAGTCCATGGCCGGGTTGATGTGGTTCTGGAGAAACACAGTTTGAGACTGGGTAGTATCCCCGTGTGCGATGTGGCATGAGGGGAGGCCCTCTCTTCCCTACTCTCTAAGCCACTAGCAGGTGGCGCCCACCTCCATCCAAGCTCTTTCCTCGCACCCATTTCTACTACTGAACTCTGAGCCCCCGGAGCACTGGACCGTGGCTGCTCATCGAGCATCCCAGCACCTACCATGCTGCCAGGCACTGAGGAGGTGTGCGATAAAAACTTAACCAAATTCACCCATCTACAAGCCATACTCTATTACAAAATATTCACGGTAGCTTTGCAAAAGACCCAGCTGTTTTGGTGAGAGGACAGGTCCCCTCTCTACCCACCGTGGCTGACCTCATTGGCCCTCCTACAGATGGATTTGTTTCACGGGGCCAAAGGCTGCACATAAACTCGCCAACTCGGCACCACCAAGCAAACCAAGCATCAGGGCCACTCAAGCTTCTTACCGTCATCTATTCCAGGGCCACCATTAAAAAGGAAGAGCTGTCAGGGCTCCGTCTGGGAGGGCCCTCTGACTTCCCGTCAGGGGAGAAGGCCTACCACCATCTACGCTTTGGGGTACTTACAGTAAATCCCAGCATTTTGTAGTCCTTTGTGTACATGGCTTTGCGTTTTTCAGTCCCACTCCCAGGGACATTGCTAGGGTCAGACTCTGCGTCAAATGCAATCCTCCTCAGTTCAAATATAATGTCTCTTTGAGCCTGAGAGATGAAACAGACAGTCAGCAGGTGAATCAGCTAGCTAAGGGAAGAAAGGAAAAGAACAGTAGGTCACGATTTTCTGGCCCAATCAATACCTTAGGAGGCATCACCTCTACCATAGCAGGACAGAAATGGCCTTGGCCCTTACCACAGGTGCAAATCATGCTAGATTTTCCAGATACAACCACTTCTGCAAAGACCAAGCACAGTGCCTGGCACATAGACTAAGCGGGGACTGTACCATAACCAGGAGAAAACAGCACACAATGTCAGCCAGGAAAGCTCTGCCCCACTTAGCACCTACCTGGTCGTTGGGGTCCATCTTGGTCATCATCCTTTCTTCCAGAAGGTTAAAGGTCAGGACTTGAAGGACATACAGCTGATGGGCCATCTCGGTTTTGATTGGGCGGTTCCCTCGGATCACATGCTAGAATAAGCAAAGGCAGAGAGCAGGGAACTGAACTGACTGTCCCTTTGACTGAAGAGCCACATCAGTGCTAGTGAAAAAGGAAGTGTGCCAGGCAGGCAACAGAGCTCTCCTCCCACACAAGGGGACTTCATGTTCTAGAAGGGATGAAGCATGAACGGGCTTGGTTCAGGCAGAGATGATTCACTGCGTGCCCGAACGGCACCATCCGTCCTCTGCGCTCCCCTAGGCAGGGGAAGTGGGATGAAGAGCAGGGCTGGACCTGGCCACGCCGAAGATGGGGGAGGCCACTCCACCAAGGCTGTGGCAGGGAACATCGGAGCTGGGCCCTACTCCAATCGGCCATCCCACAGCACTGCTAAACCCAAGACAATGGGTAGTATGTGTGGAGGAAGAGTCGTTTTTCCCTGAGAAAACTAAAATGTTTTGGATGGCTTCACCCCGTGGAGAGGCTTTAGAAGAGGTCATTTTCTTTAAAGATACTGAGACACCTACACAAAGGAGAAACATCTAACTCTTCCACCCGGCCCCTCCCACCGCCCTCTCCGCCCTCCTCTCCGACACCCATCCCTCTCTTCTCCCCGCTCCCTGCGTCCCCCACACCATGTCCCTCTCCTTCCTCTGACTCTGTCCTCCCCATTCTCTGTGCCCCTACTTCCCCGTCAGTTCATCACCTCCCCTTTTGTCCTCTGATGCCCACCCCTACTTTTGGCCCCTCCATTCTCTCTCGTGTTCCATCTGTCCTGGTTGGTCAACACTTGATTACGCTCTTGTCTCTCACCGTCCTGTTCTCACTCCCCCCACATCCTGCTTTCCTTCTTGCTCTCCTGTACTTCTCGCCTGCACTGTCTCACCCACCATCATGAATCCTGCCACTCTTGGTTCCTTCTTGCCCAAGTGAGACCCTTGCTTAGTTTTCCACATGTACAACCTTTGTGTCTGTCACGTTCTCTCACGCAGTAGCTCTCTGTCTCTACAGCTGTGCTGTCCAGTATGGTAGCCACTAGCCAGATGTGGTAATTTGCATTTCAATCAGTCAAAACTAATTGAAGTTAAAAATTTGGTACCTCGGTCACATCAGCCACATTTTTTTTTCACAAGATTATACTACTTCCTGACTCATCGGCCACATTTTAAGTACTCAAGAGTCACATGTGGCTAGTGGCTACTGCACTGCATAGTGCAGAGACAGAATATTCTATTAGCACCCAAAGTTCTACCAAATAGCACTGCTCTAGGGCTCTCTAACTCTAGAAGACTATCTTTTTAAAGCTCCCTCTAACTTTAGATCAGCTCACTCTAGAGCTTCCTCAGGCTCTAGATCAATCTCTTTAGACCTGCGCGATCCAGTTTGGTAGCCACTAGGTCCGTGAAATGTGGTTAGTCCAAACCGAGATGTGCTTTGAGTATAAATGCACACTGGATCTTAAAGCCTTAGTATGAAAAAAGAAAATCTGAAATATCTCATTAATAATGTTTTATATTATTACATATTGAAATGATAATGTTTTGGATATCTTGGGTTGAATAAAATATATTATTGAACTTGATTCCTTGATTCCTTTTTTAATGTTGTTACTAGAGAGTTTAAAATCACACAAAGAGCTTGCATTATATTTCCACTGGACAGCCCTATTCTAGATCTCTTTGCTAGTTGCGTGACTCCAGGGCTCTCTCCCTTCTCTCTCTTTCTCTAGATCTGCACTGCCCAATACAGTAGTCAAAAGCCACATATGGATATTTAAATTTAAACTGAAATTAAAATCACAAATTCAGTTCCCCAGCCACACTAGACTCATTTCAAGTGTTCAAGAGCCACACAGGGCCAGTGGCTACCATTTTGGGCAGAGAGTAGCGTATCCAAACTAGAGTGCAGCGTGTGCTAATGCACTCAAGCCAGCACCCCTCCCTCTGAACTGGGGACTGTGCCCAGCCCTCCAGCTCCTGCTTTGTCTCTCAAGGATGAGACCTCTCATCTTAGCTCAGTTTCAGGGTTCCTCTCAACTCCCCAAGTTTACTTTCTCGCTCTCTGCGCCTGCCTCCCACCCCGAAGTTTCCCTTCCCTCCTTCCCCCATGTCTCCTGGCACAGGGTCTCTTCCTTGCCACTGCCACTGCTTCCCCTCCACACTCCTCCTTCTGCCTCACTCTGAGCCTTTCTTCTCTCCTGCTCCCTCTCTCCACCACCCTGATTTCTCCCTACCTGTCTATCCCTATTCTTTCCCCCTCACTTCCCTCCATAATTTATAAATAGCTTTGAATAGAAGTGGAAGCTGATGTGATCTTGGTTTTTGTTCACTTTAATCTCCTTTCCAAACTTAAGAGACATCATAGCAGGAAGGTAATTAATTACCATCGCCATAGATGGCTTAAAGAAGTATAGCTCCAGTCTGATGCGTTATAGTTTCAGGGTTTTTACCTGCAGTCGTACTTGGCTGTCAAGCATCTTGGGGCCTAAGCTCTCTGGCTTGATTCGGTGAAATACCCGGACTTCTGTGACCCTGCATTCACCATTTCCTGCCAGACCATTTAAGTCCTGAGTCCTGATGCTGAATTGTCTTCTACTGTGGAATCTTTATTTGTTCACAAGGTTTGTCCAGAAATAAGTTGAACTTCTAACCTCACTGAGGTCAATAAGTCTCAAACATAATTAAATTTCCCTCAGAAGGGCACCCTCACCCCCACAAGTGCGGGGAGAGTGCCCAGGACAGCTGCTCAGGAGTGTGGATAGCACGCGTGGGAACCTAGGCACTCCCCGCCACTTGTGGGCAATGTTCTAGCATTTGCCTGGGGCCCCTCCTGCCAGGCTGGTAGCTGGGTGTAACCGGTGAAGCAGCCAGCAGAGAGGACTTCCGCACGGGGAAGTCTGCGGACTCTGCGTGTTTAGAGCATAGCTGACTGCTCAACCTCACAAGTGCTCAGAGCTTGCTTCTTCGATTTAACACCTTGGCATCCTGTTCTGCCAACACAAGGAGAGGGCTTACCGAAGTGCCAGACACCCTGCTGAGCACTCTGTATACATCAGTTCATTATTCCTCACATCCAAATGAGCAAATCGAAGCCCAGAGGAGTTAGGTGAGTTGATCAAGATCAAAGATTGGAAAATGGCAGTGCGAGGAGGCTGGTGGACTCCAAAGTCCACGTTCGGCATCAAGTCTCTCACACTTGACTTCTAGATTCTCATTGTATTCCCTTCACTGTGGTCTCCCAGTTTTCCCCTGTTTTTGACAACTGATAAAATTGCTTCTTTTTAATCTAGATCCTTGACTCCCTTCCCCAGCTCCCACCTCAGCCCTCTTCCACCTCATATCACCACTGGGTGACAGGGAATCAGACCTCCTTCCAGATCCCTCCACCGCTACCACCAACTCCTACTCTACTCTCCCCGCCTCAGACACCCCTCGGAGTGCTCTTTCTCAAGTGCAAATCTGGTTATTTCGACATCCTAATTAAACCCCCTCAGTTGTCCTTAGGAGTTAGACTATGGCCTTACTTGATCCAGTGTTTTCTACCTCTCCAGCCTCATCACAAATCTGCTCCTTGCCCCACCCTGTACCAATCACACACTCCTAGGTTCCAGCCACCCTCTGCCTGGAATTCCTGTTCTTCTGGGTCTGCCTACTTACCCTGCGCAGCTCACCTGAAGATATTTCTCTAAAGGTTTCCTGACACCCTCTCCTTCAAGGCAGGACTCACTGCTCCCCAGACCACAAACACTGCCCACACTGTGACATGATCACTAGTGTTTCCTACTTGACCAGAAAGTCTTTGAGAGCAAACACACTGTCTTTATTTATCTCTGTCAGTGCCCTACACAGTTCAGATTTATGATCAGTATTAGCCGAATTACTTTTCTCTTTTGTGCCGATTTTGACATATTTTCTCTGGATAAAAATTTTGGAGCAGCAGGGCACCAAACAGTATAACTGGCCTCGTCCCTCCCTGGAGGCACTGCAATTCCTGGTGGCATGACTTCCTAGAGACAATTCTGCTCACATAGGACTACCAGAAAAAGCTTTCCAGTTTAAGAAGTGTTCGGTACCTATTGCTAAGTTCCCTCTGTGTGCCCTCAGCACAATAGTAATTTTAATAATAATAATACAATAACTATAATAATAGTAATAATTGCTATTAACAGTAACAAAATACAGTGTGTTCCAGGAACTTACATTCAGGATTATAGACCGAAGGTGCTTCTGTGCAAATGCATTGGCCATATCCTATGGAGAAAAATAAGTACATATAAGGGAAGTTGGCAGACGCACACCTGTAACAACTAGCAAGAGGACAGTGATGTCATACCTCTGGGGCTTTTTCTCTTTCTTAAATGTTTTCTCTTTCAAATGAAAAGTGGGTGAATGAAAGAAAATCTACCATCAATTGTGTTTTATACTCTGAAAAATTTCTTCACTCTTTTTTGAGAGTACAAATTAGCTCAAGTGGGGTTTCCCTTCCTAATGGCATAATCAACCGCGTCATCTCCAAAGACAGACATGGACTGCTTGAGGATGAGACACTTGCGTCACACGGATGCCGGCAATGGACGCTGCACGTGGAGCACAGAGCAGGGTGATGGATTCCAAGCCACACGCATTGTTCCGGGCAGACCCCACCGCCAGGGCTGGAAGGGGCTCTAATGAGGCACTGGCCAAGCTCCTCCCCCAGCCCCGGCAGATGGGCTGGGGCACGGGCGCTCTAAGTCAGTATGTAGCCTGTGATTTACTTCTGACTGGCTGAGGGAGCAATGTGTTGGGTGCTTTGGGGTAATTTTTCATAATAGATTCACCTTTTTAATTCTATTTAATTCAGACTTTGACAGTAATGCTTTATTTAGCAGATTCAGGAAATAAAGTATCCTACGTAAATGAATCTTCCAGGGAGTGAAGCTTTAAGGGTTCTCTCAGAACCATTATTTTGACCATTCTTATGTAAATTTAAAAAATATATTATATACGCTTCTTTATTTCTGAAGCAACTTCAATGATTATAATTTAATCACTGCCAAGGACTTGGCTTCATCAAAAAGAACATCAGTTATTATTCTGTGCCGTGACACTGTAATACCCTGAGGAGCTATTGAAATGTGAAGCTATTTTCCCCTAAACAAAATGGTCCCAGATTACAATGCTTTTAATTTTTCTGACAGCTTTTCATAATTCTTCTGTCTCCTCCTTCCAATGTCAGCCATAACTTCTTACTCATGTTAATTAGTATGACTTCACTTTCTAAACTACTGCCTTCATTTAATTTTATAGATAATTCTAAATCAGTGGGCCTAAGGGAGCTGTCACACCTCTCCTATGGAGTAATATCCATGAGCTCTGTCATTTTTCTCGGAGCTAAAAGGCCTTTCTCTCTCACTTCCAGATCTCTAGCCATATTCCAAATGGCTGACACTGCCAGGAACATTAAGTTTTATTTTGCATTCCCTGAGCACACACTAGCTGGCAGAGGAGGAAGGTGGCCTAGAAACTTCTCTGGTAGCTACAGGCGGCCGGTTGAGATTAAATCTTGCTGTGGACAACTCACAAAGTGAGTAATAGACAGTCATCTATAGCTCAAATATAAAGGTATTAGACCAAAAGCTTCTCCGTGGTGCCGGGGGAGGCACTTAGCCTCTTTCACATCCTCGCAAAGCTGACCTCTCCAAAGCTCCCTCTACCCAAGAAACGAGCATCCAAACTCCCTTTCGTCAACTGTCTAACCTTGTCACAGTCCTACAGTCTAGTAAGAGTCCAAAAAAGGTATGGATTTACCTTTACTCTTTTGCTAAGGCAAGTTGGATGGCAACGCATCTGTGGCATTGTCTAGATGAAAGTTACAAGCTGTTTCTGAATCTGATCTTCCCTAGTTGAACCACAGACCCATGCAAAGGAAAATTACAAAGGAAAGCTTGGGCCACACGCCCCAGGGCAGCTACCCCCTAATCCTTTCTGTGACTCTAATCTGCAGTACTTCCCTAAGAGTCCTGACAAAGGAGATTCATCACACACGACCTTTCCCTGGGTCTTGATGTGCCCTGAACATCTAGATCAGACTGTGAGATTCTTGCCCAGCTTTGACCTCCCCACCTGGAAGGCCCGGAGCCCTCTCCACACAGCGGTGTTACTTACAGTGACAGGCAGGTCTAGAGGATTAAGGTGCTTGTCCTGCCGGCAGGAAGCAAAAAGCACAGAGAGAAGCAGACGGAATGAGCTTTCAGCTTACATTCAAACATGGACTGGGGAGGAAGACATTAACAGAGCCAAGACATCCAGAAAGACAAGGACAGACAGAACCACAGATGCTCCTGGTCTTCCCTCTAGAATCTACCAAGAGCTCAATCCAACTTGGATGCCATCTTTCTGAGCCCACGCTATTGACACAGAATTAAGTGTTACTTTTGTACACCATTAAGGTTTTTCTCAGAGAAATCTAGAATGTTAGTGTTGGAAGGGCCCCCAGAGAGAATTTAATGTAGCCCTTTCATTTTACAGAAAGAGAAACTGAGACCCACAGAGGTTAAAAAGACTAGTCCAGCCAGCAGCAGGGCAAGTACTTAGTCCCAGGCCCCTCAAATCTCAGGTCAGTGCTTGTTCCGCCACCCAGCTGATTCCGTTTCCTCCTGGGTAAAACAGGGGTCTTGCTTTTCCTCATGACATTCTTGTGAGGTCAATGGGGCAGATGTTATTGCTCCCACATTACAGGTAAGGAAACTGAGGTTCAAAAAGGCAGAGCTATCTGCATGTTATACAGCTAACGGATAGGGGAAGAAAGACGTTTAGAATCTGGATCAGAGGACCTTTATACATGAAACTCAGTGCTAAGTCCCATTCATTTTGGACTCCTTGGACTCAGTGGTGCCCACGGGTCTCCTCTTCCTTATTCTTGATCCTCTAACACAGGAGTTAGCAAACTATGGCCATATTAGGCTTGTTGCCTGTTTGCGTAAATAAGGTTTTACTGGGAAACAGTCATACCCGTTCATTTACCTATTGCCTGAGGCTGCTTTTGCTACAACAGCAAGGTTGAGTAGCTGCCACATGAACCATATGGCCCACGAAGTAGAGAATATTTACTCTCTGGCCCTTTAGAGGAAAAAGTTTGAAAGCCCCTGCTCTGACTTAAGACCCAGCTGGTTTCGCCTCCTAGTCCTCTCCTGAGTCTTCCCTAGCAAAGCCGCCCTGCTGGGCTCTGGCCACAGAGGGCTAAGTGGACTCTTAGGAAAATGGCTGGATTTCTGCTTTCTGCATAGCGAAGAGTGGGTGGGGTCAGCATTGTTCTCTTAGAAAAGCCCAGATGAAAAGTGTGTAAAGGCAGCCACAGACCTGTCGCTTGTCTTCAGGAGCCTTCAGAAAAAGTGCGTTAATCAGTGCAATGGCGTAGGTCTGAATCTCCTGGTTGGAGCTGCGTCAATGGAGAAAGAAGGCAGAGGGAGATTAGGAGACTGAACAGCAAGATGATGCTTCGAGACGGTTTAAAACAATCACTCACAGACTGTAATCAAATTGTATCTGAGGCCGAGTCTCAAAAGCATTAACGGTGGGCATGCTCTTGACCCAGCAATTCTACTAGTAGGAACGTATCCTGAGACAGGAATCAGAATGCTGGGCAAGATTTATTGACTAGGTGTTTCACTAAAGTACTATTAAAAAAGGACAGCATGGTAAGTGATCCAAAGGTTCACCTTAGCAACTCTGTTTACACATACGAGAATCCTAGTAATTATTCAAAATCATGTTTTAGGGTAAAGATTCTTAACCTGGGATTCAGGGATGGACTTAGAGTATCTGTGAACTCCAGAAATGGTACAGAAATTATTCTACGTAGTTAGTCAACTATGTGATATTTTTTCCAAAGAGGTGAGAGTTCATACCTGTTAATGGATTTTCAAAGGCGTTTGGGATGTAAGAAAGGTTTAGGACTACCCTTTTAGGAGAATCTTCGACATGGAGCAATGTTCAAGATATTATTCAGTTAAAAAAAATCATGGTACACATAGTATGTATAGTAAGATTCCAATTTTGTACTGGAGGGACATTCAATTTAATGTTTACCAGTGGGTATGTCTGGAGGGGGCATAATGGGAAAATAATTTACTTTTTGTGCTTTTCTATATTTTATAAGTCTTTGAATACAAACTTCTTACTTTATTTTAAACAGACAAAACAACTACAATCATTCTCTGAAATCTTATAATCCTGGCACTTGACAAGATGTCCCCACCTGCCATGTCGTGGGTGCCTTCTGTGGCTCTTTCCAGAGGGGCTGATGGGCTTTCGGGTCCTGGTCAGGCAGGGGGCCCCGAGGAGTCTAACAGAGGGCACTAAGTGTCCCTCAGCCCAAACAGCAGAGCACACAAGTTCTGCTGACAGCTGTGGACTTAAAGTATTCACCAATGGCCCTTAAGAAACGCCATGTTCCTCTATCATCCTTAGGGAGGCAACTAGGGTCATTCTCAATTCTGAGACAAAAAAAAAAAAAAAAAAAAAGAGAAGTTCAATGTGTGTGCAGAAACTTGTAAAAAAACAACAGAAAGATAGGTGTGAGGTCACAGGAAAATCAGAATTCTATCTGGAGTTTATAATGTCCCTCTCACTCTAATCAACCTTGTTGGCTCTTTGGATATGAAAGCTGAGGCTGAAGGATTCTTTAAAAGTGACAGCAAGAAATCAGAGCTGCAAGGAAATCATGGTGCTTTCTTTTTACTTGGATCAGTGGAGAAAAACAGGCTGGGAGCATAGTTGAGCGAGGACAGGGCTGCTATGAACCCTCAAATCCCTGGAACTGGCGGGGGATTCTGGCAGCACTCTGGCAATATCTAGTACGACAGAAGTGAGCGTGAGTCAGAAGGGAATCAACAATATTACCACCCTTGTTTTGGGAATTACAGTTCCCTTAAATTGTACAGACCAGTTGAAAGTGAAGTAAAAAGAATGGAGAGGAGAGAAACAGTACTCCAATTGGTTCATTTGTCATCTGTTTTTTTAATCTGGTACAACATTTTAGAATGTGATAAGCTTCTTAAAAAACAAACACAAGCAAAAAAAAAAAAACCCTGAATTTATTAAATATCTAATGTGTGCTGGCCACTCTACTAGACTGTTTTTTTAATCTTCTTTAATCCTCACAGTCTGAGAGGTGGGGTGATTAACCCCAGTCTACAGATGAGGAAATTGAGGCCACAAGAAACTAGGTGACTTGCCAAAGGCAGAGACCTTGTATGTGGTAGAGCCTGGATTTGAACTGATATCCTGAACTCATGCCCTGTACAATACTTCTTATAATACTATTCTCCACAATGCATTGTTAGTTCAGTAAGTGTTCATTCGACAAATACTAATTGAGCTTCTACTTAAAGCAAGGGATACAAAAATGGTTGGTCCCTGTTCCCAGGAAATTCAAAGTTTAAAATGGGCAACAGATAATAAAAATACAGTATTTTATATAATTATCGTAGGTACAGACAGACACTCTTTGGCCCATAGGGGAGAAAGCATCTAATTTGTCTGGCACCAGGGTGGTATAGGAAGAGTGGGAAAATCTTCACTTTAGCCTAAGGGGCAAGGGGGATTACAGAGGCTTTTAGGCAGGAGCATGACATGATCAGGTCTGGATTATGGGAGGAATTCTGGCAGTAGTGTGGAAAAGGTGATGAACGAATGAACCAGCAGACCAGTGGCTTGGAATATAAGCAAAGCAGAGGTAGGATTGGGAGACTTAAACAAAATAAGAGGAGAAAAGAGAACAGACAAGTGAAAGGAGGGGGTAGGGTCTCTTACTCACACCTGGAGGTGTGAGATGAGCTGGCCCACGGTGATTTCCTCTGCTATCTTCTGGTACAGACTCTGGCTGTTCAAGACCATGCTCTCCAGGATGGCCAGGGACCTCTGAAGGATTGACACGTCCACCATGGGCTGGCTCACGTACCCTGCAATCTGGACCAGAGAGGGGTGAATCAGTCAGAAAGCTCAGGGTCCAAGAAAGCTGGACAGCCTAGGTATCTGACGCTAGCCCTTAAAGCTCTCTCCTTTTAGGCATGATGACCACATTTGGGCAGTTGTTGCTAGGTGGACAGTGGTATCTGGGTTATGGTTACCCTAGCCAATGTGCCAGGAATCCCCTAGGCATGGGTAACTCAACTGCAGAGTATAGTATCCACTCAGTTGTGTTTCCTCAAAATCTAAAAGCTTAATCGTTTTTGGTTTTCTTCCCCAAAATAAGGGTTCAGGGCATGAGAAAGCAGAGTATATAGAGCAAAGGATATTACTGATAGTGGGGTCTCATTTCATCTCCATGTATTCTTTCTCTAACATATACTTTCTCCCTATGCACACTTACAATATCATAGACTTTGAGAGGCAGAAAAGACCTAGGATTCTTTTAATCTAATCCTTCTTCTCAATCCCCATTACAATATTATTGACACATGGTAATTTCACTTTTGCCCAAATATCTACAGGGTTGGCATGTCCCCAGTGTCCTTAGCCAATCAGGAGTGAAATTCTAGGTCAGCAGATACAATATTCGCCGGTTTTAGTTCAGTTTTCTGAATTGACACTGCCCCCTCTTGCAGAAGAAAGGGGGGCTAAACCAGAAGTGCCCCCTCCTACCTACTGAGTTCAGTCTGATAATTCAAACCGGCTACCTTGCAGATTTGTAAACAGAAGGCGCATTTGCAAATGGAATGCACATTTTTTATCCAAAGAGAAGAGAGAGCTCAGGAAGCCAGTCAGAAGACTCAAGGATAGTACTGGTTGACTGGCTGATTTTATCCCAAGTGTCACTAACAATCCAATTCTACTTTTTTTTTTCTTGAGAAGCTCTTACTCTGTTGCCCAGGCTAGAGTGCCGTGGCATCATCCTAGCTCACAGCAACCTCAAACTCCCGGGCTCAAGCGATCCTTCTGCCTCAGCCTCCCGAGTAGCTGGGACTACAGGCATGTGCCACCATGCCCGGCTAATTTTTTCTATATATTTTTAGTTGTCCGATTAATTTCTTTCTATTTTTAGTAGAGACGGGGTCTCGCTCTTGCTCAGGCTGGTCTCGAACTCCTGAGCTCAAACAATCCGCCCACCTCGGCCTCCCAGAGAGCTAGGATTACAGGCGTGAGCCACTGCGCCCGGCCTCCAATTCTACTTTGACCACATTCAGTTCTGAGAACCCAGTTCCATCTCCTCAGTGCAGGCCCTGAGAGTGTAACAAAGTGTAAATCTTTTAGAAGCCACAAGAAGACCAAGGCTCGTGGATGAAAAATCCGGCCCCGGGGAATACAGAGCTGATCCATCCCAGAATGGCTGTATTGCCCATGTCTCCCCTTAAGCCCAGAGGACAATTGCACCCTAGATAGGAGAGAAAGACAGGATGTTGGAGGCCTCACCTGCTTAATAAAGGTGATTGAAACCATGTCCCAGGAGACAATGCCATGGTCCATGAGCTCTAAGAAGGCAGTCAGGGTGAATGCCAGCATCTCACTGTAGCTGAGACATGTGCAACACACACACAAAATACAGAGATTCAAATCCGGGGAACACAGATATGAAGGCAGCCACGAAAGGGATGGATTTCAAGGTAAACCCCGTGGGAAATCAGTTGCTGCAACTGGAAGTGCCTGCGTGCACACCTAGCCAGATGTAGAACAGATTCAGTCCAGGTATCTGTCATCGAAAAAACAGGCTGTTGTATGATTAGCTTTCCTTCTTCATATTGCTTCATCTTAGGGAAACAGAATCACTTATCTATTTCCCAGGACCTAAGAAGACATCAGGCCTTTGTCAAACTCCAACACTTGCTGAAGGAGCCTAAGGGAACTTACGTTCCATGTCAATGTGTAGGCCAAAAGGCAGCAGAGTGCAGGAGAGAGTACGAAGTGTGGACATGGCTTCAATTCCTATTCGACCTTTTACTAACCAAGCAAATTTTATCCTTTCAAACTTCGGTTTCTTCCTCTGTAAAATCGAGTTAGTCTCACAGCATTAACCTCACAGGGCTGTGGTGAGGGCAAGATGATGATATATGCACAGCCCTTCCTGGTCGAGAACAAGGATTAAAACATTTTCTCTTTTGTCTCTCCTCCTCACATATTTAATTCTTTATACATCTGTGCAGTGCTCTAGAATTAACAAACAATATTCCCATTTATGAAGCATGTTCAGACACATTTTCATTATCAATAATCCTTACAACAATACTGCAAGGTAGGTATTATTATCCCCAAGTTAAAGAGGAGGAAATTGAGGGGAAATCTAACCCTGCACTCTTGGGAAACTGCAGAACTCCTGTGTCAGTGCTGATGGCAGCCAAAGGCTTCAGGACTTCACTGCAGCTGGAAGAGCCAAGACTTAAAACAAATACCTATGATTAGTTGCTCAATTTGGCTGAAAATTTTAATAGTTGATCCATCGGCTAAGAGAAGATTTCTGACTCCCTCTCTGCCAACTTAGGATCCACAGGCTTAGATGAGAACCCAAGCATCTGTTTATTCCCTGTTGATCACAAGGCACAGCTTTCCACCACGTTCATTCTAACTCTGGAGTATTATAAAGATGCCATGGTATATCGTCAAGTTCGGGATCTCCTCCTCTTTATGCAAATGTGTGGCAGGGAGATGGCGAATGGGTAACCTGTGGTGAACACAAAGGCAGGTGTGTGTGTGTGTGTGTGTGTGTGTGTGCGCGCGTGCGCGCGCGTGTGCATGCATGCGCATGGGGAGGAAGGGGCCTGGAGAGGGAGGGAGCAGGGGAGATTAAGAAGAGACAGACACCTGTTCTGGGAGATGATGGGCAGTCTGCGCATAACCCTCAGCAGACCAAGCATTTTCCATAAAGTAGCAGGTCTGTCATGGACTGACCTCTCTCTTCCTGACTTCTATATCCCCTACTTTTACTACTCACTTAGCACAGTATTGTTTCGTACTGTTACTTAATTTGTGAGAGCCCAACTACACAAGATTTAGGACTACAATAGTGAATCAGACCTCTCTGTTTGGACTCTAGTGCTTGGCACACTCCTCTGCATACAGGTGGTGTTCAATACACCCCTTATTTGGACCCAATGGGAATGAGACTAGGATGCCCTGCCGAGTGCAGTAAATCTTTGAAGTCCCTGGGACAAGACCTCAGTAATACTCACTGAGACAAGAGCTTGGTTCCACTTTCCACGAGCCTTGTCAGCACAATGATGCCATCCATGTTGATGAACTCGGTGGCAAAAGTCACGTCGGCGGAGAGCTTGGCCAGCTCTTTCATGGCATCCAGCCGGGTCTCCATGCTGGATGACTGGGTCCTCTCCATCAGCTGGCGTGCAGCCCGGGACTGTGAGACCAGGGACAAGCTTTGTGCCATCTGCTCCTTGCAGCAGGTGACTACTCTGTGGATAGCTCACAGGGGCCTTTCTGTGAACATCCAAGCCTGAGGCAGAACTAGTTTTTCACACCACTTAGGAGTTGCTAAATAAATGTTTACTGGATCAATCAGGGAGTTACCAGCATGCCAAGACCAATGTGTAGTTATCAGTATCTTTTCTGTACTACTCTGGTCTGTGGATTAAAAAAAAAATTCCTACCAAGGAAATACAAGAGAGATCTGGGTGAGTCACTAACTACGGCAAGTCACAGAGAAACAGTGGTTTAATTAATAGAGGAAAAACTTCTATTAATTAACACTGTCAGACAGTGGAAGAGGTTTCTCTTGAGTTATTGAGCTCCCTGTCACTGGAAGCAATCAAGGAGAGTCTGGACAACCACCTGTCAAAGATGCCATAAAACGGATTCTTGCATAAGGTGGAGAATTTAATCTGATGACCTTTAAGATCCTTTTTAATCCTAAAATGTGATAAGCCTGACAATTTTTTAAAACTTTCTCTCAAAGTCCATATCACTGTTCCTCCAAGTGATAGTCCTGGGGAAACTTTAAAAATACCAAGAGCCAGAAACAGTTAATTTCAAAACGGTTTCATGAAAATGATGGCTGGTGGAGACAAAACTTCTGCCCAGCACATGAACTTTTCCTAGCAGGAAGCTTGCCTCCTTTTCCGCAAGCCGCAGCTAACATCCCTCTTCTGTGTTCACTGGTCTTTGCTTTTGCTGAACTTATTAACTTCATAGTCAATACCTCACTATTTACCATTCCATCATTCTCCATTTTAACGTTCAGTGTTAATTTAATGTTCTCTGCTTGAAAGGAAGAGCCTTAAGAGCAAAAACACTCCTGTTGTCTTTCCCTTTTCTCACAGTATTAAGCAAGTGACCGGAGCCCAGTTCCTGCTGCCGGCTGAGGAGTCAGGCCTGCGGGCCCTCTCCCCTTTGCCCGTTACAGAGATGGCCCTTCGCAGCACACTGCTCTCTAGGACACAGAAATCCCCCACTATCTCTGCAGTGGAGGAAATGTGCACCGTGAGAAAAGGTCACAGGATAGAACAATTTGAAGAGCGCTGGTCTGCATCCCACTTAGAAACTTCCAACTCCAAATGTCAATTTTACTCCTGAGACAGCATTTCTGGGCTGCTGCCTCCTGCTCCAGAGAGACGTGCTTCTGGGAAAGCCAACTGTGCCGTGCAAGAGGTCTATAAATGCTTCAGCACTTCCATAAAAGCGACTAACTCCCAGACTGTCACATTAAATTATCAGAGCTTAGGAGGTATGAAGTCCTTAAGGTGAGAAGTGCGGGAGAAGGGAGGGAGGCAGAAGACCAGGATGGTAAGAATACAGGCCTAGCGTCAGACACACCTGGTTTTGAGAGCCGACTTGGTCACTTTTTAGCTGTGTGACGAGTGGCAAGTTAATTAATCTCTCTAAATCTCTGTTTCCTTGTCTACGAAACTGGGCTATCAAGAGTACTTATCTCATTGTTTGTAAGGATTAGATGATACAATATACACAAAATATTTACCAAAAAACAGGTGTTGAGTAAACGTTAGCTGCTATCACTCCATACCTCCCTCCTCTCAGATGCGCCAGTCTCGCTGCACCAGGGGGCCAGGTGCCATCATGCCCTTAATTTTCTGGCTTTTCTTCTACAAATGTAACCAAAGCTGCACCCAGGCTGATCATCTTCCTCAAGGGCCGAGCAGTCACCACAACTCCTTCCACCTGGGCTTTGGGTCCGTCCCATCCTGACCCAGTAAGGTCCCGTTCCATTGATTACCCCCTTTCTGCACCTTCAACCTTCCTCTCTCTTCCATCTTAACAGTCTCAAGGACACACAAAAAATTCCAACGGAAGTTACGAACTGTGAAGGGTTGGAGAGGAGGGGGACTGGGTAGATGGGGACAGGAGTCGGGTGGGACTTTTCACTGTATCTTTATCAAACTTTCTGATTTTTGAAACACATTGCTATTTTACTTGTTTTTAAAAAGCACATCTTTTTGACTCCATATCCCTCTTGAGTTACCACTTTCTCTGTGTGCTTCCTTTTAAAAACAAGCTTCTTGATATCGTGGCAGACTCAAGGTCCTCACTTTATTACCGTTCTTCTATTCGACCCACTGCAATCTGGCCGCCCCGGCCGGCGCACCGAAACTGTTTTGGTGCAGATAACCAGCGGCCTCTGACCGCCCACGTCAGCAGACAGCTCTTCTTTCTCAGTTTACTAAGTCTCTCCGCTCATGAAAAACTGCAGACCACACGTCCCTCCACCCTGACTCGCTCCCTGCCCTCGGCTCCTGAGTCACTCGCACTCTCGGTGCTCTTTCTACCTTCTGGTTGATTCTTTAGTGACCTGGAAGGCCTGCTCTGGCACAAATCAGGGGGTCAGCCTCAATTCTCCCCTTTCTTTCACACTCAGCATATTACATATTCATCGATATCACCTCCTAAATATTTTTCATGTCTATCCTTTTAACTCCACTGCCATTTACCTTCATTGGGCTGTTAACATTCCTCATTAGCCTCTTAAAGGTTCCTCCTACCATCAATCTTCCTTCTTTTCGCCCATCTTCCACATTGCCACTAAAGTGATCTTTCCAAAACTTAAACCTAGACATAACATACCTTCCTGCTTAAAATCTTTCAACATCTCCAATTTCCTTCTGGAGAAAGTTCAAACCCACGAGCGGGCCATCCAGTAACCTTCAATCTGGTTTCTCAGCGACTGCTACAGGCCTTCGGCCACCCAGCATTCCTGCCTTCCCCACACGCAGCACACCTGTGCCTTTGCGCATGCTGGTTTTTCTGCTTGGAATATTTTTCATTTTCTTCTTTCTGTAGCTAATTCTTGCTTATCCTTCAACATCTGAGCTAAGCATCCCCTTCCCTAGGAAGGCTTTCCAGAAATCTCCAGGATTAGTTAGATAGTCCCTTTTCTGAGTTTCCACAACTCCCTAAGCAACTTTCTCTCAAGACCCTTGTATTTGTTTTTTTACTCCCAGCTAGGCTGTGAGAGCCGAGACTGACTTTTTAATCTCCATCATCCTAGTTTCTAGAACAGAGCTTGGCCCACGGTAGGTGCTGACATATGTTTGTTAAATGAATAAACTCCTGAAGAAGGAAGAATACCTACCGGGGAGATAGCCAGTTGTAAGATTGTCCCATTCTTAATGTCACTGCGAGTCTGGGTAGCAAAAAACAAAAAACGACTAAGATAAAATATTAAAATAGTATAAGCAAGTTCAATGAACAAGAACTTTTTGTCATTTTAAAAGTAGTTGTAACTGAGGCCTTTCAGTCAGGCTCTTTGTCCCTCAGCAAAGGGCTTCTAAGATCCTCTTCAAGCACCCTGGGATCTCAGGAAAAAGCCACCCTTTTCCAGCCACTAGAAAAGGACAAAGGCTGGTATGCCCCAATCTGCCCAGGGAGCAGCTCTTTACCCGACAAATGGAAGCTACCTGGATGCTAAGTAAGATAAACACCTGGGTGGTTCACTTCAAGCAAGGCCTGTCATGATTTTGCCTCTCCCTGTACTAACCTGTTCGGTGATGTAGAGCTGGGGACCGTCTGCATAACGGAGGGTGTAATACTCCGGGTTTGGCAACGACCACCTGTGCAAGAGAAAAACCGTACATCCCATTTGGCCATTCCTCTGAGCCTGTCCAGAAGCTGTGAATAAATAATTTTCAATAGAGTTGCTCAAGGCCTATTTGAAGTATACTAGAAAAAAACTAAAGCTTTACGTTGAGATGATGAAAAAAATCACCTGCTCAGCCTTTTGTAAAGATTTGTACCACAAAAGGAGGTGCATACGATTGAGGGTGGGCTCAGATCCCACCAGGACCTCAAATAGAACATTCCTGAACTAAAAAGAAAAAAATTAAGATTTATAAGAGGTATTAGGGGCATCCTCATCAACTGCATTTCCTTCGTGAGACAGTGATCTACAAGAGCCCCACACTGGGGTCCTGCCTAACTGGAAATCCTTCACAGAATTCCCCTCGACGTCTGGCAGTGCTCCTTCTGTCTGAGCTGCTCTTGTTGAAAACGAGGTCTGTTTCAACCTACCCATCACAAACTTCCTTGATGATGGATGCCAGGGGCCGTTTCTGAAAGAAAAAGAGAGAACCTTCACTAGCAGCCACATCCTACTCACGCCAAGGTTCTGCCGAGCAGGATCAAGAGATGGGGCATGAGAATAGACCTCTTTCCTGATAGCTTTTGTTGAAGAGGAAGCCTCTTCCAAGCCATGTTGACTGACTTTCGCTAGGGTGGACCAGGCTCAAAGCTCAGCCTTCCTGTTGCTTGTTCTTCCTCTAAATGCCAAGGGTCCCCAACCCTTGAGACATCCCCCGCCATGACGTCCCCAGCCCCCAGCCCCCACTCCTTGTATCATGGCTTCTCATTTCAAGAGCGTACCTGGTCGATTTCAAGGAGCTGGGCATTAGCACCTGGCCACTCAATGGCCACTTTGACAATGTCTGATGGTGGTGGCATGGTTCCCAATGGGCCAAACTTCTCCAAGACACACACACAGACACAGCTGCCTGGGGAGGAAGAATCAGAATAAAGAAAAAAGTTGCAGGGTATGCCTTCATTTTGCATTCTTGTTATATATTTTGGAGAGTCTGAAGACAGATACTGTCTAAAGTAACATGGAACTATAGTTGACCCTTGAACAACATGGGTTTGAAGTGTGCAGGTCCACTGACTCATGGATTATTTTCAACCAAAAGTGGATCAAAAATACAGTATTCACAGGATGTGAAACCCACATACATGGAGGGCCAACTTTTCCTATACATAGATTTTGGTGTGCATGGCGGTCCTGGAACCAAGGCCCCTTGTATACCAAGGGATGACCTATACTTGGTTTGAATTTTTCTATATCATACTGAACCTCTTCTTGGGCTTTTGTCTCTTGAGATTATATCAGCAAGTAGAAATGGGACAAACCTATCTATCATCTACAGATCAGCCAGAAGCAAGATCTGCCACTGTGACACTTCCTTTTAAAGGTGAAGAGGTCTTGGTGGTAGATGAGCGTATTCACGGCAGATTCCGTCTGAAGACCTTGCGAGGGGAGAAGCATGTGCTCTGAGACAGATGAGAACAGACAGGCTTTGCATGGTCGAGCGGGTAGCTGAATGAGCCAGGCCACTTCTGCTCTGAGGGAAGATCCCAGTGTCAGCAGGGCCTAGCTATGCTCTCTTGCCTCCTCTCTCTACTCGCTGCTGCCACTCCTTTCCCCTCGAAGGATACAATGCCGAGCCTCCTCTGTGTGGGATGACGTTCAGAAAACGGGGAAGAGAACTGGGACAGGAAATGCTATTTCAGTCCCTATTGCCAAGGGCAAGGGCTGCTGAGGGCTCAAGAGTAGGGAGGTAAGGATATCCTCAAACAAAGGCTCCTCTACAGGAGAACAAGGCTTTGCAAGTACCTGTGACCCCCTCCCCCACCTCTCTCCAAAAGAAAGGAAAATAAATCATTTTGAGCAAGTCTGGAAGATGGGCCCATGTGACTGGTATCCTAGGCAACTCTTGATAGCTTAGTGGTATTCCAAGCAGTAGCTAAAGCATTCTCCCTCCAAGGTCTGACAAAGGGAAGTCACTCGATTGATGGATTATTTCAATGTATATTTACACTCGTGCCTGCAGGTTCAGGAGAGGCCTCTCTCTTAATGAAAAAAGGCCTTTCTGCATCCTCCAGGTTTAAACACTCACCCGCAATCCATGCCTCGCTAATGGGGACCACCTGCCTCTCCTGGCATAGCAGCATAGCTGTTGCTAAGCTGTTATTCACGTACGCTATCAATTTTTCAGCCCAAACACAGATGCCAGTTCTCATAGCCTGGTACGTACAAATCTCTTTGGTGAAAAGGGGTAAAAGTCTTATTCCCTACAGAACCATAGGCCTCAGAAAGATGGAAGCTTTCATGACCATTTCCTAATCAGGGTGGGCTGCTTCAGAAGTCGACTGTCAAAAATATCATGTTACAACATGACAAGGTAAAAGAAATGGTTTTTCAAGGTGCTTTCACTTATTTTGTTGAGTCCTCCCAGCTGCCCTATGAAAACAGCAGAATAGGATTATCACATCCATTGGAAGATGACAAATTGAAGCTCCATGTTTTATTAAGTGTCCAAGTTCACCCACCTAGCAAGTAGTAAAGGGGGAACAGAATTTGGAGCTGTCTTTGGCCAGTGGTCTACCCTGAGCTAGCATGAATTTCTACCCGTTGCGACTAAATCAAGCCCAAAGGGATTGAAGTGGGCTGGCCTGATGGCCCCTAAAGCTTCCACAACTTCTGCAGCTCCAGGCAGAATGTTTCATGTGTAATTTTTATGTGCCTAGACACACAACAAACCTCTGAAAAGAAACGGGCCTCATCATGGATGCAGAGAGATAGGAACACTCACACACTGCCGGTGGGACTGCAAACTAGTACAACCTCTATGGAAAATAGTATGGAGATACCTCAAAGAACTAAAAGTAGAACTACCATTTGATCCAGCAATCCCACTACTAGGTATTTACTCAAACGAAAATAAGACATTCTATAAAAAAGACATCTGCACTCAAGTGTTTATAGCAGCACAATTCACAATTGCAAAGATGTGGAAACAACCCAAGTACTCATAAATACATGAGTGGATTAATAAAATGTGGTATATGTATACCATCGAGTACTACTCTGCCATAAAAAAAATGGTGAACTAATACCTCATGTATTATCCTGGATGGAGCTGGAACCCATTCTTCCAAGTGAAGTATCACAAGAATGGAAAAACAAACACCACATGTACTCACCATTAAATTGGTACTAACTGATCAAAACTTATGTGCACATATGGAAGTTACAATCATAGGGTGTCGGGCAGGTGGGGCGGGGGAGGAGGGGATGGGTAAACTTGCACCTAACAGGTGCAATGAGCACTGTCTGGGGGATGGGCACGCTTGTAGCTCTGACTTGGGCAGTGCAAAGGCAATTTATGTAACCAAAGCGTTTGTAGCTCTGTAATACTCTGGAATAAAATAAAATAAAATAATAAAATAAATAAAAACAAAAAAAGAATATCAGGGTCTCCTTCAATGAAACTTTGTAAAGTGCACAGTATGTGGCATTTACTCAATAGTTTCCTAAAAGTTGGGTTTAAAAAAAGGAAAAAAACTGGCACCATTAGCATAACTTCTGCCCTGTTCCAGTGACAGAGCAATGGAGTTCTCATTCCAGGGGTGGCACGATGAATCTCTGGATGCCTAGGACAGGCATCCTTATTCTCACTGGCAAATCTGCTGTACTTAGGAGGTATGACTGCACAGTTGTGAGGTCATTTTTAAAACTGGAGATATAATTTACATACGATAAAATGCATAGAGCCTAAGTGTACCTATGTGTGTATATATAAACATAAATACACGCACATCTCCCTGTAACTACCCCCCAAACAAGACACTGAACCTTTTCATCACTCCAGAAAATTCCCTCATGCCTCCTTCCAGTCAATCCCCCACCTCCCAGTCCCAAAGGCAACTTCTGTCTTCCATCACCATCCATGAGTGTTGCCTGGTTTTGTACTTTATATAAATGGAATTGCATAGTATGGCTCTTTAGACCATTTATTGTTTAGTTTGGTTTCTTCTTATTTTTAAAACAAGTAGGCAGTGAAGGTACGAGAGAAAGAGCACTGGGCTGGGATGATTTTCCCAGCTGAAAAAAGCAACTGGATTTAGAACCAAAGGACCTTAGGGCCTGGCCTAATCCTAGTTACATTGAGATATGTATACCCCAAATCTCAGTTTTCTTCTAGTGTAAGATGTTGAGTGTCTCAGGTGCCTCCTGAGTCTAAAAGCCCATGATTCTTAAGTGGAACTTAAAAAATCCAAATGAGGGTGCCATTTTAAAGTCCTCACCAAAAGAAGCTTCACCCTTAATTCGATGGTACTCCTAAGAAACAAATCATGTATTTTTGAACACTTTTCTAAATACTATCTTTGGAGATAAATACACTAAAGCTCATTACTTTATAGCTCTTACTTTCTTTTGACCCCATGTGACACGTCCTAGGTTGGTTGTCTCTTTATTTATTAAAGCTAACCCTGAATGATTCTTGGGTGTTCCAAAAATTCATACCCATTTTAAAGCATGGAGATTTGCAACCAACAAGACTATTCAAGAGGTAAAAATAAGCCCCCATTCTCAGTGACTCTGTCCTTTCCCACAAAGCCCAGTCAGCCTATTTGAACTGAATGACACTGTCCACAACCCCACCATAGCTGAAGGGATCAAAATGGACACTCAACTTTAGCTGGACTAATCCAGTTTTTTTTCTTGAACTCAAAAGGCACAGTCTAAGGGAGTTGGATGATAAGGGGAATAGGATTAGGCCCTAGAAGGGGCACTGGAGCAGTAGGTCATAGTAAGCCCAAAGTAGGCATCATGGCAAGCCACTCGCAAACCAAAGATACGGAGAAGCAAAAACAAGCGCCTTGCAGAGGAAGCAATTCTGCAGGAAGAATCCAGAAATATTTAGATGAGCTGAGGCCAGAAACTACAAAATCTCAGAAAGAGATGGAAAAGGTCACTGCCTAATGACTCTCCAGTTTACATGGTTCTACTTCCTATGCTTGGGGTACCTGAAATTCCCCTGAATCCTGCCAATAAAACTACTTTAAATTAAGCTAGCCTGCGTTTCTGTTCATTGCAATCATTAGAAGCCTATACCAAAACTGACACCAAGCTCTGGAGGAACTCTACAATGGAGGTCAGAACAGATAGCAACATCACTGGCATAAGATGATGGTATCAAGTAGGCACTTAATTAACAGTGGCTGAATTAATGAGAGCAAAACCCATTCAGATAAGTCTGGTTTGTTCAAAACAGACTAGTTATATGGTGACTTTGTAGTAATGACATTATATCTAATAGTAATGTACAGACAGCCTCTTTATAGTTGAATACTCATTTCTATAGCATTATTTTAGTTGATGCTCATAAGAACCCTGAAAAACATTCCTATTTTGCAGGTGAGGCAATTGAAGTTCAGATGGACTGAGACACTTGTCCTCCACGCATCTCTTTCTATACCCCCCTCAAAAGAAAGAAGGCAGGCAGGGAGGGAGGGAATCAATCGATCAATCATTCAATCAATCAGAACTGGGTCTCATGGCTAGGCCTTAGGACTCCAAAGTTAGTTCTCTTCCCGCTACGTAATACTTTGATGATGATGACAACAATGATGATATTAGCTAACAATTACATAATGCTGAGGCACTAATCTAAGGGCTTTACATATATTAATTCATTTAATCCACACAGCAACACAGTGTGGTACGTTTTTGTCCCCACTTTACAGATAAGAAAATAGAGGCACAGAAAAGTTAATAGGCATGCCAATGTCACATACCTAGTAAGTGGTACAGTAACTGGGAATTTAATCCCAGTTGCCTGGGGTTGTTAGAAAGCCAAGTGCAAGCAAGTAGCTCTGTACCTGGCCCATAGCAGATGCTCTATGGAGATTTGGGGCTTGGGTATCTAAAGCTGAG